GTTATATTCAATTGTGTGACAATGACTACAGAATTAATCACTGATAAAATACTTTTAGTAGTGTGGTTTTGTGTCAAATATCCATGAAATAGTACAAATTTTAACCCTTTGTGTGCAGAGACCTTATATATTGGGTTTGACGTCACTTGCGTGTGGGGACCCAGTATATTGTGTCTTAGTTTGGTAGTAGCCCTTCATCACATAAGCATCATTTAAGATTATTATATAAAGATTTCGATTGTTTAGAATGTATTATACAATTACATGAAGGTTAATAATAGGTGATAAAAATATGAAAAGATGCCAATTTTTCAGGAAATGTTGATTTAAAGTGAAGTTGTTGTCATTTTATTACGATGAAAGTCAGTCAGCTACATTTGGAAATGGGGAAAAAACGCGTCTGTAATAAATATTAACCGCCTTGCTCTAATACATAGGAAAATAGAGAAAAAAATCCAAAATATAGTAAAATATCAATCATTTTAATAGATCTGTGTTTTGAGAAATAAAATTATTCAGAAATTGTCTAGCCTATATAATCTAGCGAAAAAACTGGCAATTAATTAACCTGACCTTAACCGTGCAAAGTTCTTCCTGTTAAAATGAGCTCGAGAGAAGATTGCACACTTCTTACTGTCAGACTCAGAGCTGCTAAGAGAATATAAATGACCTTAAAAAATTGTTTGACAGTGTTTTATATTTTGGACATAAAGAGGTTATTATTTGTTTATATAATGTTTTGTAAGTAGACATACCTTACACCGTCTACTTTTAAACAAGAATGCACGAGATTTAACCTGGCAAGCCACTGATGTTTTTTTTAATTGCACATTGCTTACATATAAATAAAATTATTCAGAAATTGTCTAGCCTATAATTACATTGATTTACATGCAAGTTTGGTCAATATAGGACTAATTATAGTTATTTGGAAATGAGTCCTGCCCCAAACACTTTAATCTGGTCACTCATCTGGAAAATGTAGGTCAAATCCAGCATCCGAAGGTATTCAGACACTGCACTCTTCTTAAGTTGCACCTAAATTGTTTTCCCTTGATGTTGTGTTTTCTCTTGGTATCCATAGATTCAGTATCTGTTATTTTCGATTCTGCTTGACACTCAGACAAAAACTCCACCATGACGAACAAAAACAACTTGCCATCTTAAAAAAAAAAACTCTTCCAGGTCAAGCCATCTATCTCTACCATCATACTTGTAGTACACCAGAATACCATTCTCATGGGATTGTTGACTGTTCAGCAGCTCTCACTTTATTTAAAAATGTCCTTCTGATTCTCTCATCAGCTTCTGCCTATGTGTAAGCTTTTCTAGGGCTGTGCAATAAATTACAGTATGGTGTTTAGCAAATATCTCACTCATTGTATGACCCTCAAGTGCTGGTAGTTTGTCCGTCATGATGTTCAGGGGTTCAGGGTTCCATCAAAACACAAGCTGGTGGCTACTACAGCCATTCCACATTAGCAATACATGCAGATGTACACAACTTGACATTCAAAATGGATATCACTTCTTAAATTTCTTCTGAGTTAACTCCCTTCCATTATCTGTCATGATTATGCCCATGACACCAAGTATTCTTATCCAATGAGACATGATTTTATCAATGACACCAGTTTCTTTTTCCTCTGAATAAAAACTGACAGTGCATTTGGACCACATGACAATCCTATATAAGATCCACTTTCCTCTCCAGTGCTACCTTCTTATTAAAGAGAGATGCCATTGGAAATAACACAACAAACCAAGATGGGGTTCTAGCATAAGTCCTGCACACATCACACCTGTGCTCTGCATTACTTTTTCAATATCCTGTTCAAAGCTACCTTACCTTGTAAGATTCCATACTTTTCGTATCATTTATCAACAGGGAAAATTTAAGTAGAAGTCGTGGATTACTGCTGCACGTAAGTTTAAATTCCTATGCATGTTTAAAAGATGTCACCTCAATGAAACTAAGCTATGAAATTTTCCGTTTTTGAACTAGTAATAATATACTTATAAGGGAAATATTCACATCCTTTGGAAGAATACTCATGATCTTGTAGGATTAAATCTCATCTTACTCCTGTCTGCAGCACTAAAGGAACGAATCTTTTTTGTCAGCAAGGTTGGTTTAATCAAGTTTAAACACATCACATCGTATTTTTCATGCACTTTTTATTTAATTCATGGATTTGGGGCATTATTTTAAATATATGACAAAAAATCCCGTATACAGTAATGTTTTTTTATTACTGAAAAGAGGAACAATTCCCTTTTAGCGTAACAGTTACTGAAAAAAGGAACTGTGCCCAACCTGTTTAATACATTATATATATATTCACATACCTATGTCCAAGAGCAAAATCCACTTTAAATTGAGCACAGAGATATTTCAATACACATGATAAAAGCCCAATTCTTTTATTCAAAGATCTACCATAGAGATAATTCAGGGTTCTCCAAAAAAACTGAAGAAGGTGGTGAAACTGGACAAAGAAGTGGATCTTCTGTGCGAGTGCCGATGGCAAGAGCTTGCTAGGGGGGTCAGGAAAATTTATGAAAATTTGAAGCCAGGAGAGGGTACGTATTTCCTGGTTTCTGGAGATTTCAGTCTCAGACTATGTCGTTACATGATCCCTATTTTAAGGATCATAGTAACCAGAACTGTGGTATTCTTTAACTTGAAAATTTGTTTATTCACTTAGAAACCTCATTTGTAAAAATTGCATATTACGGTTTTGATGATATAAACAGCATGTCACCTTCACTCGTTTGCTTAAACTGTGAAAACTTCAGAACATCTTCATTAATAAAAACACTAAACTTAATGAAACACACAGCAGCTGTGTCAGAAACATATGACTTTACGTATGTGTTCAATGGCTTCAGGTTATGGGAGTTATAACACATTTTTGAATGATGATAGTGTGTTTGTTATCTATTATTAATTTGCTATTCAATTATCAATGAATTTATTATTCAATTTTGGCTTCCAATGAACAAACCATTCAGGTTTGAACTCGTTGGCTTACGACAAGCTACAAGTTTAAATTTCCTCTGTGGCAATTAATGTCTGTCAAACTTCGAATAATTCAGAACAAAACTTAATTATGAAAATGCTATCGCATAATTAGCTAAATCATGCTATTCTACCTAAGTCTTGGTCTTTTCATGAAATATCATGTGATTTTTTCTTTTTTTTTAATCGACCCTCTTGGCGTGACAAACCGAAAATAGATTTTTCACAAATCTGTTAAAAATTTTATATATTAAATGCTTTGCTATGGATTAATTGATATATCCAATGTTCTGGGGTCAATCAAGGATTTAGAAGGTGTGGGATCAAAAGAAAATTTTGTTTTGTGCAAGACAAAAATTTTCTGATAAAGGCTGGACTTGTAAGTTAACAAGAACTTGATCTTGTAGTAGAAGAAAGTGAAACACATTAGTTTATGCTTTATAAATAAGATATAAACAGTGAATGCAAGACACTGAACCATATCTTGATTGGGCTGACAAAGAGCTAGGTTAACTTTATGCTTACATTGGCCATGTCCTTATACCAATTAGACTATCACTCTTTCCCATTTCTAACATCAGTATAAAGTAGAAACTTAATGTTTTCATTTTCTATAACAAAGTTTGCTTTGAGTGACCATGCAGGTATTGGAATAAAGGGTTTTTGAAATTGCAATGTTCTTGAATTTTGCAGAAAACAGGTGTATTTGAGTATAACCTTCAGCAAAGAATTAAGATATGAGCACACCCCTCTTTACAGTTCTATCATAATTATATAATTTCAAATTTTGGATCAGAGGTTGTGCTCTATATGAAAATTTGAAAAATTAGCTTAATTTTTTGGCCATTTGTGAAGGAATTTTCAGGATATGGGAATTATAACATATTTCATGACATCATAATGCATTGACTAGCGAGAAAATTATGTCATTTTCAATTTGGATATGCAGTCACCAAGGGTCCAGCTGATATTTAATGCATTGTCAACTAAAACTGAGCAGTTCTTATTTTCAGAAATTCACATGGCCAAAAATGGCCATTTAAGTAAACCTTGCTCTTTTAACTAATTGGTTTGTTTTCTTTCATGAGCCAACCAAACCTTATGTCCAATAAAGTTTAATTCAACTGTTATGTTATATCTTGGTCTTTGCAACTCTTTTATGCATGTTATAAATAGTTTTCCCAAGCTTGAATATGACATGGAGTACGGCATGAATCATCATCAATTCATGTTGGCAATTGTTTTTTTATTAATCCGTAAACTGGCTGTAAATTTGACCTAGTAATAAGTTTCCATCTAAATGCATGAAGGAAAGATAAGATGCATATAAGTGCTGAAATTTCTTCATTGGTACCACTTTTTCTAACTAGACTAGTTATGGTAGTTAATGCTGAAGTTTTATTTTACCTACACAGGTGATGAACTTTTTTTCTGTCAGACAAAAAATGGTTCAGTCCTATGACAGCCATTGAAAAATAGGACTGAATGTCCTACCGGTATTTAGTAAAAAAAAACACCTTTTTGTTCACTGTAAAAATGACATTTCTAAGTCAATTTTCTAACTTCAGTGTAGTATCTCTGACATTTTGTCAGTGTACACTAAGTCTTGTTATATATATGATTTCCTTATTTCCTTTAGAACATTATACCTGATCTTAACTCACAAGAGATGTATAATTCTCAATCATAACTCAAAAAGGATGTACAATTCTCAATCTTAACTCACAAGAGATGTACAATTCTCAATCTTAACTCACAAGAGATGTATAATTCTCATTCAGTTTCAATAAACATTTAACAATAAATAAAATCCCCGGTCATATTTCAGAATGTATGGGGTTTTTTTTTTAATTAATTTTCAGACAATTAAAGTTAATTGATATGTAATATATGCTCTAGCTGTGATTTGAAATCAGCAGGCATGAGGCAATTTGCCTACCCTAAAAAAAATCACTTATATGTTAAACTAAAAAATTACCTGTTTCCAATAGCCAGAGTCTTAAACTCCTGGTAAATTTAGATACCATTTCCCATGGCCTTGTATTCTAACATTCATGGTTATTTGTTTGTCTCCTACAACAGAAATGTTTAAAAAGACCTTCAAGCAAACAGTGCCTTAAATCACTTATGTTCAATGTAATATCTGACAATTCATATATCAGGGCACATGAATTTCATCACCCACCAGTATATATATATTCAATATATTCATTCAGACCCATTATTGATCTGTATTATTTCTCACCTGATCTGCTTTAATGTCTCTTTGATAGGTTTCTCATTGTGTTATCTATTCTGCGTAATTTCAGTTTTAAATTCTCCATTTAAATCATATAATGGTCTCTTTATAAAATGTTGACAGCGTTTTCAATAATTTTTTCCCCCATTTAATCTATGTATAAAGTACACTCAACACTGATTTTTTTTTAAACTGACAGAGGCTACTTACACGTAATTCCTGAGATGTTAACAGACAATGCACACTGAATAATTCAATGGTTGCCAGTTACAAAAACACTCTGCACCAGGTCATTTCTTAGTTTAACCTGAAATTATATAAAATGACACAATTGCATTTACTTGTAAGACCATGTGAATTTTATACAATATTTTATAAAAGTGACATGTGAAATGAACAATATTATATCTTGATGCACATAGATTACTAATGACAAAATATGTAAAAGCCTTACATTCCACCTACAAAAGTTAAACATCAGTTTACAGGCCATGCAATCCTAGCAGCATCCTTTGTCTGACTACACCAGAGAGACTATAGACACATTTGAATGAATAGGAAACCAAATTGATGTTAACAGTATCCTGGCTAATCTAAATATGATTCAATGTAATTAAGCTATGCCTCCCCATTACAAATCACATTATTGGCTATCACTGTAGAATCAATACCGTGAAGCCATTGGAAAGGCTTCACTCAGTCCAGAAGATTGTCACAGTGAAAACTACACAATCAGTACATCTCTTTGATGTCTGCACCAGTGAAACTAGACTGAAAACAAGTGATATCAGCCAAATATAAAAAAAAAACAAACTATTTTATAATGCACTGAATTTTTTATACATTTGTCAGATAAGTCTCATGCCTAAATATACCAGAATATAGTACAGAACCCTTAAAGCCACACTGTGACTCAAAAAGGGGGATATTTACAATATATAGAATTTCTGCATTACATTAAATGCAAATTTTGTTTATTTCTTGAAAATATTAAGTTTTGGAAAAATACAGGTTTCAGAATCTAAAAAACCTAATTTTCGCAGAAAAAAAAATCATTTTTGTCTGCCCACAGAATAAAAATATTGCTTCACTTCTTCCTCCTCATTGTATGCTTGGGCAAAAAAATTGAAGAACTTATATAAGCTTACCATGGTCTCAAGTCTCAAGAAAAGAATGTTGGTATACTGAGGATTTTGATACAGTTTTCAAAAAAGATTATCAGAACATATTCCTCACCTTTGCATGCTCTAATTTAATGTTGTTTACAAGTTTTACGCTAAAATTAAAATTGCATGACCTTGACATGGATGATTACAATGATACAGTTGCTACAACTTTTGTATTTCCAGCACTTATACTTTGTAGTCTTCCTTGCTCTACAGTGCAGTTTAGTTTGTCAAAACTTTGCTATACTCATCCATTCAAACAATACAAATCAGGAGCAGAGCAAACATGGACCTCTAAAACATCAGTGGGATCAAGTGCCATGGAGGAGTGAGTATCCCCTGCTGACCAGTCTCACATGCCATGTGCTTCTTGTCATTATCGGGAAAAACGGAAAAATCTGAAGACAATTCAGTGTGTAAATAATGGCCTAACAATTAGTATGAAAAACATCAGTTAGAATTTTACTTAATGATAGATTGTATTTGCTGACAAGGTCATTGTATCAACCATAGAACTTGCAAATGATGACTTTAAATGAGACTGTTGATATTCTTTTTTCATCAACTTGTTTGACAATAGCTTGCCTCATTTTAGAAAGAAAAAGACCTAATTCAAAAAGCCAGTAACCCTTTTCACAAAGAAATCCTAAGTTTTTGCATAAGATTTTAACTTAAGAATCTCTTACAAAAAATCTTAAGTGCATTCATAGCAGGTTGAACTTAAGATTTCACTTACGAAGAATTTTCAAAGTTTTCCAGGCCCCTCTAATGTCAAAATGCTTTGATTCAGGATTTGAGGCTGAAGGATCATTGTCAGCATCACCGGTAGTCCTTAATATTCCTCAAGGTCATTGTAAGAGGTGGTAATCATTAATGATATTTCATGCTAGGATTAGTAGAGCAAAGAAAAGCCCAATGCCTAATTTAAAATAAACATATACTTTATTTAAACATGATCATCCCCCCCCCCCCAAAAAAAAAAAGTCGAAGGCTTTTGATGGCACATCACATCACATTCTTATCATATAAAGTATCTGAGTCACTCATTCATCTACAGATGACAACAAACTATTAGTTGACTGGGTGGGCCAGGTGGACTTTTGATGGAAATTAAGGTACAGTTCCAAAATTAAGGGGTACAACTAGCAGCAGGTGTAAAGTTTTTCATCCAAATGATTTCCCTAGACAGAAATGAATAAAACATCAGAATGCTGGGGAGTCTGAACAATAAAAGTTAAAAATGTGAAATGTTTAAGCAAGATACACACATGCATGATGACAAACAAAAAAAGGTTGCAATAGGTCATTTTAGTGACTCAGATGACAGTATAATGATATACATGTATCGATGACAGTAATAAAAGTGCATAAAAGTGAACTTGTCATCATCACACCTTTCCCCACCCACCATTTCATGATCTTCTGCTTATGATTAATTTTCATTTCAAAAATTAATGCAAAACATCCTCCTCAGTCTATTTCATGGACTAAAATTCTGGACTTATGTATTCATCCTGTCTAGAATACTGTATACAGGGTTATTTTTGCCCCATGTTTTTTTCGCCCTTTACACTTGCGAACAATATTGCCCGTTTTAATTTCACCCAGTCACAGTTTTGTCTAAGAAATTATACTTTTTTCTTTGAATGCACCTGGTCTTAAATTCGCCCACTTGTGTCTAGGGCTAAAGGGGCAAATCTTCCCTGTATACAGTATACACAGTTTTCATATCTCTTGCAGTTAAAACAATAAATTCACATATAATCATGATTTTTATCTTTTTTAGCAATGAAAGTGTAAGAAATTAATTTTTCATCCAAACAGATTTCCCTAGACAGAAATGAATAAAACATCAGAATGCTGGGGAGTCTGTGAACAATATTTAGAGAATCAGGAACATCAAACACAGGAATGCATGCTTTAATTCCTAACTAATGAAATCCATACAACAAAAAACATTAACCACTAAAATACATTTTCTTTTTTGTTCCCTTCTTTTTTTTAATTGATGAAATTGATATGACTTACGTAAATTACACACACTTGAAGTTATATCAATCTGTATATGATCAGTTGGTAATATTGCAATGTTAGCCTTGAGTTAAATCATTTATTTTCAGTGTTTTTCAGTTCTAAATGCCAAGTATTGTAGAGGGTATCTTGGTTATGATTGAAAAATCTGAACTGTTCCAAATATGTAATAATTCAACTTTACCCCTTTGGTGGGGGGCCTAGTCAGAAGATAATAATTTATAGTCAAAGAAAGATTGTATTCTTTAACAAAAAGAGTGACATGGTTATTTCTACTAATGAATAACTAAGTGTATATTGATTAAGCTATAGCATCAACTGATTCTTTGATTGCACCTGTGCCCCATCGTCTATCAAATCCTCTAAAACCAGAAGTCTCTGATAAGACTGTAGCTCTACTGGCTTGAAACTGTACTACAATATAGCACTTCTTCTTGAAACTTTTTTTTTTTCAAGGTAAACTCGATTTGCTAAAAAGGACATTGCTTTAACCTTCAAATCAGATAGACAAGAGCAGTATGATATGTTACAATCACTTACAGCTGTCTTTTTACCAGAATTTTTTCCCCATTTCTTCACCAGTTTTTTAATAAAACTTATAAACAGAAAAATCAGAGAAACTTTAGTAATTAAGGTCATACTCGAGATCCTCTGGTCCAGTCTAATTTCTTAATCACTATCATTGTACATCCTTCATCTAACAGGGAATTATTTAATCTTAGACTAATTATAAATCCTGGATTTTCAGAAAATTTTGAAATCAGGTGTAGTGCCTGAAGACTAACTTAGTTTTGCTTGAAATATCAGTTTTCACTGTAGTAGATACTGTCTAAATGGGTAAGTGTGTATATAAGAAGCTAATATAATTGAATTATTGTTTATTTTTATTCATTCATGTTTTTATTGTGTTTCAATTTCATATTTTGTTTTTATTGATCATAATTATCATTTCTAGGGTTAATGCCTTTTATGCAGTGTATCTGGTGTTCTACTGTTGTTATCTGTAGAAAATAATGACGCATGCGCAGATGGGGGTTAGTAGATGCCTGGCATCAAAAATCGACTAACCCCCATCTGCGCATGCGTCATTATTTTCTCGCTAAATTCTGCAGTTTTCTGCAATCAAACGGCGATATTAAATTATCCATCGAATGTCCGTCATTAAATTATCCTACGACTCCACTGTTATCGCAAAACGTTCCTTCCAAGTTGTAGATATCCATTAAACATTGCCAACAACGCACGGCTTCATAGTCCCTATGAATGAAGACCTGACTGAAGAAATGACTCGCAGCTAACGAAAATACATACCGATGCGTAATCAGCACAACAACTGCTAACACCTACATGTGTTTTCACAACTGTAACAACTTTTAAATCCCACGAAACGCCCAGAAAAACGCAGCGATGTAAACACTACCAAATTTACAGCAGCTTCCTAATGCAGACAACCACTACTCGACGTCACAGTCGTAAAATACGACGTCACAGGTACACTGTTTTCCCGAACTTTTCTAAAGCAAAATGGCGATTAAGCATTGTGCGTAATATAAGGCATACTGTCTTTGCTGTTTAGCACACGTACTTTTAATTGTTTGTAAAAAGTTCTCCTTAAAGCAGGTAATTGAATATCACAAGAGGAAAGGAAACTGGAATGTCTTTAGTACAGAAATCGGTCTTTGAAATTTGAAGATCCATGATCCGCCCACTTCTAAGAGGTGCATATTTAGTGTGCAAATCGAGAGTTTTCAAGCCATTGTGACGTCACCCTCAATAATTTGTAACAGATCAGTGAAATCTTATAAATGAATCATTAAAAAAATAATAAAGAGTTAATCTGTGGAAAAGTCCTCAGAAATATAAAACAAATTTTTACTGATTAAACAGGTGATATTTTTAGTTGTGATAGTCGGTATAAGAGCTTTACAGAGCTTATGTTATTTGTTATTTCATTGTACAAAATGCCGACTTTGAATAAAACTTACTTACTTAAAGGTGTAAGGCACAACAATTCTCCACAAGGCAGCATTGATATTGTAGTACTTGACGTACATGTAAATATACTGTAGATAATCCGTTTATTTGAGATACCCCACCTGCCCCCGAAATA